TCTGTTTTTAACAATACATTTGACTCTAATTATTAGAATATTATAAGACAGTAAATTATAAAATAAATAAATATAACTAAATAGCAATTTACACTTCTGGTTAAAATAAGATTCCGCTTCTTTATTTGAATGTAATCTATTATTAATATAATATATTATATATAAAAATTTAGAATATTATATATTAAATATTAAAAACAAACAGAAAGCAAAAACAGTAACTTTTGTTGGTCTTTATTATTTTTGGTCTTGATTTATTGTATTAATACAATCTCTTGTTGAAAAACAAAATAAAACAAAAGTTATGATTTATTTGTTACATCATCTTAATAAGTACAGTACATTTGATCAGGTGTGAAACTCAAACATCAGATATCTGCCATCATATATAAAACAAAACAGGATTGCTTTTAGTATTTAACTGCTTTACATTGTTGAACCTTTCTATTCAAACCAAACATTATCACAAGTCACTAATAATATGCATCATTTAAACCCAATTGTTCTATTACTGTTCAAAGGGTACAAAAGCACTAACGACATATGTACAGACAAATGTTGTGAACAAAGATCTATTTCATTTCGATATCAGATGTCGGCACTGGCTTTCGTTCTGCTTTCTTGCTTTTCCTATGAGTGAAAAGAAACATTTTAGATACTTCCTCACAAAGATCAAGTTTAAACAGGGGGAAATGACTGTAAATGGGCATTTTGCTGTCAAAATGTCATCTCTTGATACTTACTTTTGGAGCACAAACACCACAATCGCAGAAATGACAGCACCAGCGAACACAATCCCACCCAAAACCCCCACAATCAGCCCTGAGAGAGGAAAAAAGGCATTATGAAAACATGTTTATGGACTCTTGAATAAAGGACGAACGATGAAACGTGCAGCTCAAGCATCAGCAGAGCTTGTAGGACAAACCACAACAGTAGCAACAATTAAAATATGAAAATATAAATAGTTAGTGAGTTTACCTGCATCAACAGTCTTCTCATCAGGGTTTGGCAGGTCTGCAGCTCCCAAAAGCCTTCCGGACCGTGCTGTAAAAATACATTCACACAGTCAGAACAGACTGTCCTCTAGTGGACAATACATGAACACACACTGAACATGCTGCTGAACATTGTAGGCAATGATGAAAAACCTAAAAGAAATCATCTTATATTTTTACCATTCAAAATAGTTGTTTTCTATGTGAATATATTGTAAAATATAATTTATTCTTGTGATCAAAGTTGAATTTTCAGCATCAGTCTTCAGTGTCACATGATCTTCAGAAATCATTCTAATATGCTGATTTGCTGCTCAAGACACATTTCTGATTATTATCACAATGTTGAAAACAGTTGATATTTCTGTGGAAAGCCTATTTTTCAGTATTCTTTAAAGAATAGAAAGTAAAAAAAAACAGCATTTATTTGAAATAGAAATCTTTTGCGACATTGTAAATGTCTTTACTGTCACTTTTAATCAATTGAATGCGTCCTTGTGTCACAATGTATCATTACTTTAAAAATCAAATCAATCAATCGATCATGTGAACTGTAGTGTATCCCAAGCTCCTTATAGATACTCCAAGTCATTATTTTCACAATTGGTTGACTCAAAAAAGCCCCTATTTTTTATAGCAGTAATGTTTAGGACATCCTCTTCTTCTTTGTGGTACTGTGTTTATTTAACATTTAAAACGAGGCTTTATCGGTTTCATTTACTTGCATCAGTCGATGTGGAAGAACTTATGAAAGATGTGGGAACTTACAGAACAACTTACAACCACCAACTGTTTGCTATCTTCAAAGAAACCCCCCTCTCTTTATATATCCGAAGTTTAAACTGTTGTAAAGACACTAACAACTAATAAACTTCCAGTGAAACTGAGGGGTTGATTATTAACCCATGTGCACTGTCAGAAAAAAGGTACAAAAACTGGGGCGCTACTCTTTCAAAATATACACTTTTGGTACTATTCCGTACATTTTAGGTACTAATATGTACTTTTAAAGTACTAATATGTGATTTTTAAGGTACTAATACACTCTTAAAAATAAAGGTGCTTCACGATGCCATAGAAGAACCTTTTTTTTTTCTAAATGGTTCCATGAAGAACCTTTAACATTTCTGTTTCACAAAAGCTTCTTAGCGGCAAAAGAAGGTTCTTCAGATTATAAAAAGGTAAGAAACTAAGAGATGGTTCTTTAAAGAACCTTTGACTGAATGCTTCTTAGTGGAACCAAAAATGGTTCTTCTGTGGCATCGCTGTGAAGAAGCTTTTAAGCACCTTATTTTGAAGTGTGTATGGAGGAAAATTAGGTGTACCTTTTAGCTTTCGCACCTTGTAGGA